GCTGGCCTTGGGCAGGCCGTTCGCCCCCTTCGGCTGGCACTTCGGCTCAGTCAAGCCGAAACATATGCCTTTGGCTCAGCTGAGCCAATCAGCCGTCTTCGGCTGCTGTACGGGCTATTGTGAATAGCCCGTACAGCAGCCCTTCAGTTCGACTGAACCGAAGGGCACCGGCGGCTGAAGAGAGCCGAAGGATCAGCCGAAGCTACAGCTGGATCCTTTGGCTCCTTTGTGAATAACCCGCTATGTTTTTAAAGTGATATTAAAGTCAAAAGGTTTTTAAACTATTTCAAATGCTAATGAAATCACTTTCAATGAAAGATGCTCCATTTAAAAGTTTTCGCTTCCTGCAGAATCATCTGGTCCCCTGAGCACTGGCCCTGATATCCTATTTTGGGGTGACTCCTTACCCTTGTAGGTTCCTATGGAGCCACACTTGTGTGTCTCCAGAAATACCCATAGGCACAGTAAGGCAATAATACTCCTCTGCTCCCCACTGCTCTCTTTTCGCTTCTCCAAGCTAGTAGATGGACAGCTGCTGGAGACTGTGCTCTTCCTTGTACTGGACAGAATGTTCAGGGAAGCAGAGCTGAGAGAGTAGAGCTGTTTGGAAATATAATGAAACATGATAGCTGTAAGTGCTTGGGCAAAAATGTAAAGAAATAGTTTGCTGGACAATGTATATTTGTTTGATCTAGATTCATTTTTTTTTTTTTTAAAGTTGAAGAGTTTATTACTACTTTAAGTTCTAAAGAGCCATACTCTTTTTTTCTGAAATGAAGTAGCTGCGGCTCACAGTAGTCATAGGAGTGAAGATTTAGGCCTTGTTCACACCAAATGCAGAGCAGATCTGCATGAGTTTCCGCACACGCAGTGCAGTGGGTTGTGCCGCGTTTTTTGCTGCGTTTTTGATGTGTTCCGGGCCGTTTTTTGTTTAAAAAATATTATTTTTTTTATATCAGTGCGTTCCAGAGCATTTGCATGTGTTTTTGATGCGTTTGCATGCGTTCCAGAGCAGGTAAAACAGGGCTTGCTGCAGTTTTTTTACCTGCTCTGGAACAGAACGCTGCGATGTGAACTGGTGCTAAAAATACCATTGGAATACATTGGACGCAGTTTTGAACCGGTCTGTAACTGCACTGCTCCTGGAACACGGTGTGAACAAGGCCTTAGTCACTTAGTTTGGCCTGCTTCACCAGAGTTTGATATGCCTGCCCTGGATGGACTGGAGATGAATGTGTTTAACCATAGTAACACAGATATATGTAACAAGGCAATTATGTTGAGCAATTTGTTGAGCAAATAAAAACGGCTAAAGGTGCCCATACACCTTACGATTATCGCACGATAATCGTATCCGATCGACTTTTCGTACGACAATCGTAACGTGTGAATAGAGTGCCCGACCGATAGTACTGTACAATCGTACGACTTTTGACGGTCAAGCATGTTTGAAAACTTTGGTTGATCGTACGATGTTCGCATGGTTGGTGGCGTTTCCGTCCGTCAAAAGTCGTACGATTAACACTGCGCATGCGCAAACGAAAATAATTGCGGTCAATTACCGCAAGTCGTCCAGGTGTTTTTTTCTAACTACCGCTGATTGAACCTTGCGATAATCGTACGGCGGTTCGATCATCGGACGAAAAGTTTAGTCCGATAATCGTAAGGTGTATGGGCACCGTACGATTCTCGGCGGGTTTTCGAGCATGTTGGTTCGACAAAAGACGTGCGACCGTACAGTAGAAACGGTCGCACGTCTTCGTTCACACTGCTCGATTCTCGTACGATCGCGGGATTTCGCCCGATTCTCGTACGAGAATCGAGCAGTGTATGGGCACCTTAAGTCTCAGCCGACAGGCTGTAAGTCCTCCGTGGTTTACGCGAACCCTACACACTACCAGTGTTTTCGTTTGCTCATCTTTTCTATATGCCTGCTAATTCCATTTGTTTGTGAGTATGGTATTAGCTGTTTTTTATATTGCTACATTAAAACATTTTACACAATGAAGGCGCTCTCTTTGTCTTCTATTTCAGTTTTTTGGTTGCCCTAACCAGCGGGAGCTGCCTCGAGAGTGTATCACATTGCATTTCTACACAGTTACAGGTGCTGGCGCTTGTGCTAATTACTTTTCTTCTAATATAACTCAATGATTATCATGCATAGGGGGAGGAGTACACCATTATATTTGCTGCATTTGATAAACTAGCTATGTTACTAGAACAAAATAAAATCACAGTGCGTGTAAACCAGCATAACAAGTTATATTCAGCTTTATAACAACCTCCACAATATCTTTTTTTTTCCAGTACTCACTGCTGGTAGAAATTTATTTGGTGGGTGGAACAACCAGCAATGGAAAACCATTTGGAACACAGAATTTTGAAGTTTGCCCTGGAAAACGCAGTACGTGGAGACCCCCAGAGTGTTGTGGACACCATAGACAATTATTGCAGAAATAAGGAATGGGCCATGAATGTTGGAGATGAGAAGGGTAAGGACCAATAGGCATCGTGTTTCTATGGTTTTAGTGGCTGGCTTGTCTGTATGGAAAGCTGTTCAGAAATGTAAAGGCAAACCTGACAAAGCCAGGAGGCACCCTGGTGGAAAAAGTTGGTGTAGAGTAGGGGTCTCAAAATACGGCCCGTGGGCCAATTGTGGCCCGAGAACCGGTACCATGTGGCCTGCAGCCGGCTAACAAGTCAGGCACGCAGTCACGGACCGCATACCTGACTCGGGGAGCAGCTACACGGTCTACATCTCTGTCGGATAGCTGCTCCTGTGCCCCCTCCCTGCAAAAAATGTAAGTATAGTGATAAAATGAATGCAGACTGCAAGGTCGGTGTCACTGACATTGCATTTCTTGCCAGAAGAGCCTATTAGTCAATCCTGATTATACATAAGGTTTAACAAGTTACATATATACATTATTCATAAGGTTTAACAACTATAGTTATATACTGTATGTACACCTAAAGGTAGATTAAATCTTGTTATTATATTTAGTGATCAGGTCTTCTTCTATATTTATAATAAAGCAGTGACTTAAGGTGCCCATACACCGTACAATTATCTGAAGATTTTCTGTGGTCAGATGGAAAAAGTGCAACAGATAGGCCCAGGTAGAGATTACTCCATCCGCACAGTTGTGTAGATGGAGGAATCTGTTGCACCTTTTCCATCTGACCACAGAAAATCTGCAGATAATTGTAAGGTGTGTGGGCAGCTTTACACAGTAGATAATGAGACTGTTATAGGACCCAGCAGCATATTGGGCCCTATATAGTAAAGCTGAACATTTATTTTTTTAACCGCCCATTAGGCAGTGATGTGAGTCCGAGTCCCCCAAAAGGCGGAGGTTCTAACCTTACCCCACTCTGTTCAAACCTTTAAAAACACGTTCAAAAATGGTGTTTGGCTTTTATTTCATTTGTAGAAAGCGAGGATCACCAGCACTTGGAAGATGCCCTTCATCAGGTCATGTTGTCCTGATGAAGGGACCCTGCGTGGCCCCTAAACATTGGCTATGTGATGTATGTTATGATTTCCTTTAATAAATGAACACAAAGATTTACCGTCATCTGCCGATGTGCACGGCGCCATCCGTGATTATCACTACGAGCACCACTGCTGTTATTGGTCCTGGTCGCTATAAGGAGTGCAGGGGGACACATCTGTATACTTGGCTTTTATTTAACACATACAGTTATAACTTTAAGGGCCCATTTATATTATTGTGTTGCAGTAAAGTACATGTTAACACCCACGTTATTATATACAATTGAGGGATTGGGGTGTGCAATTACTTATATAAGATGCTTATAGCCCACGGGTCTCTTTTACAAATATAGAAAAAGAAATACCCTCAAATTATCGAGATCACAATTGTGAGCTCAAACATATATCCAAAAACATTTTGTAATTATAACAATTTTTAATCTTGTATGAAACTACACATGAATATACACACATTTAAAATATACACACATTAAAAAAGCTATCAACCCCATCAATTGGCTATATTGGCAATATGACAAACCCAAAGGTTATAATGGCTCTGCAAGCCTGATTTCGATCTGCAGCAAGTTAGGCAAAGGGTATACCTTCATTCAGCAATGTATATTGGTTATAATGGCTCTGCAAGCCTGATATCGATCTGAAGCATCTTAGGCACATAGTATACCTTCATTCAGCAATGTATGTTGTATTCTTCTGCTATCGATTTGTTGGTATGTTGTTATATTAGCAATATGGCAGACCTAATGGTTATAATGGCTCTGCAAGCCTGATTTCGATCTGCAGCAGGTTAGGCAAATGGTATACCTTCATTCAGCAATGTACAATGTATTCCTCTGGTATCAGTTTGTTGATATATTGTGTAACATCCAAGCAGTCACCTTGTATATCTTCTGTTATATTCCTTTGGTGTCAGTTCGTTAATGTTTTATATAACATCCAAGCAGCTACAAAGTGTCTAAGGGCTTGTTCACACCTGGGCGTTTTGTAGCGCGTTCGAACGCTATGCAAAACGCTCAAACACCGAAATCCCATTATTTCCTATGGGTATGGTTCACACCTGGGCGTATTACAGGCCGTATGCACGCACTACAAAATGCCCTACGCCCAATGAAGTACAGGAGCTTCTTTGGGGCATTTTTGTCGCGCGTTTCCATTGGGATACAGCCAAGTAGCCCTCGGAAACGCGCGTTTGTCGCACGTCTTTTTTACCGCGAATTGTGGTAAAAACGCGCATATTCGATACGCCTAGGTGTGAACCCAGCCTTAGGAGTGCTGTCTCTTGATAAACATCCACTGGAATACCACAGTCTCCATGAAAAGGATAGCAGAAAAAGATTTCCAATGTCCAGAAAGCTTGACCTTTAGTATGCCAGAGTCTGGCTGTATCTCTCCAATAGCTCCACACACATATCACTCCAGTGACCAACTTCACCTGGGGAAATCTGTGCCAATTGCAGCCTTGTTAATAGGAAAAGTATTTACTTATCTTTAGCAAAGGAAAGTCTCTCATGTCTTTTTTTTCCCCACGTTACATGTGTTGTGTAGAACCCAATGCACTAAGGCAACGCACCTGCTTTGCAGTGGGCTGCAAAGCAAGGCAACGCATGATAAATAGGTCACATCCAATTTTCTGGGCGTTAGGGTGCGTTGCAGCCCTTTTTAGTTCTATAGGCTGACTTAACGCATGTGCATAAACACACAGCAGAATGTAAATGGGCCCTGCATTTGTTTTCTTATTTGCAAACCTTTTTTACTTTCTTTTCACCTAATAATCCTGCCAACACACTTCCTGTTCTAGGGTGACAATGCTCACTCACCCTACTGTATCTACAGAGAAGCAGTATTGTCACCGTAGTACAGGTAGGGTTGCCCCCTGGCCGGGATTCATCCGGACAGTCCGGGTTTTGAATGCTGTGTCCTGGTTTCATGGCAGCTGAAACCCGGACAAAAGATGTTAGGCAGACAGGGGCAAACAAAATTAAGATAGGGGCTATTGAACCCCCCACTGAAAATAGTCTCGACTGTGACATTTACATATGAATGGGTGGCGCTATTTACGCAATAAGCCGCAACTCATTCTCCCCAAAAACTTCCATACGTCACTAGAGTGTTCGGGTTTCGCTGGAAGAAAAGGTGGCAACCCTAAGTACAGGATTGCAGGACCTCAAAATACGGCCCGTGGGCCAATTGTGGCCCGAGAACCGGTACCATGTGGCCTGCAGCCGGCTAACAAGTCAGGCACGCAGTCACGGACCGCATACCTGACTTAGGGGAGCAGCTACATGGTTTATATCTGTCGGATAGCTGCTCCTGGCGGTGCCATCACTTGGTGTAAGTCACTGTGCCCCCTCCCTGCAAAAAATTTAAACAGGTGAGGGTGCTTTATTTTATCTTAAGACGTTGTGAGAGTGTGTGTGTGTATTATTGTGTGTATTTCTGTGTGTGTATATGTGTATTTCTGGACTGCCGAACCTAATCTTGCTGGATCGGCGGTAATCTAATGTAAATGGACATCTGTCCGTTTGTATCCGAATCTCCATAGACCGATATGGGGTCCGGCAGTTTTAGTTTTCTCCTCTATCGCGAAAGGTGCAGACTGTACTAATTACAGTCCACCAGTCCTGGACCACCAGGGAATGTGTCCCATCCCTGCAAAACATTTAAGCAGGTGAGCGGGCTCTTTCTTTTACTTTAAGAAGGTGTGTATGTGTATTTCTGTGTGTGTGTGGGGGGGGTTTCCTATGCTGGTTTTTTTTTTTGTGACTGACAGTGGCCGGCGGCTCCAATGTCAGGAAAAAAAAAAACAGAGCAGGGAAAGGTTTACTCTGCTCGATCGAGCAGAGTAAACCTTTCAGAGAGAAAGTGTTTCTCTCCTGGGTGGCCAGGAGCCGCTATCTAATAGCGGGAAACTCCCTGAGCGTCTGGGAGAGTTGGGATGTCTGACATGTATACGTAATGATATGACACGCACAGAAACATGAACACACATATAGATATCACTTACAGAAATCCTAACAATACACACACACAACCCATCACAAAAAAATATACTGACATTGCATACATTGCACACACGCAGACATTAACACTGGTACCATATTTAGTTCAATTTTGTTTTTAAGTATGACATTTTATTAAATTTGCTAAGCGGCCCCCATGGATGGGAAAAGAAAATGTGTCCAGTGGTCCTCAAGTGAGTTTGAGACCCCTGGTGTAGAGAATGGCTGAAGTCTATTAGTAACTTCTAAATGATATCAGTGCATATATTTAGCGACAAATAACAGTAAGGATATAAGAATTCTTACATCATCATTTTGTTTAGTGGAGAGCACATTCTGGGTAGTTGTAGTACTTGAAATCTACATAGTGTATATACAGTAGATTCCCAACAGATGTTAGTTACAGTTGAGTGTTCTGGAAAAGAATTTAAGGTGTTGGCAAGCACGCTGAATTTCATATTAGTTTAGATAGTTGGAAGAGGTTCAATTGTAAATGTAGCGTAAGAAAATGTTACGCCTATGTTTCTTATAGCGATTCATTCACCTGGCAATAATCTTTTTTAGTTACTTTAGAATACTTGCAGCTTATAGCCTCTAGGCCTTTAAGAATCCTGCACTAAAGCCACATGTGTCATATAAGCCAGTGTTTTGGGGCCACGCAGGGTCCCTGCTTCATGACAACATAGTAACCACTATATCGTCCTGAAGAAGGGACCCTGCGTGGCCTTGAAACGTTGGCTCTTATGATGCATGTGACACGATTTCAATAAATGGGATGAGAGTTCACACTCTCCTTCCTGTGAGTGCTGGTGATTTCCTATTCAACACTTTGAGGCAACATGGCACTATCCATGTCATCACTGCCAGCACCTCTGATAATAACCTTAAGGTCGAAGCGCTGTATGAAGTGCAGGTGATCTACAATAACAATAAAGCTAACTACATGCGTAGACATGTGTGTTTTACCTACCAAAATATTTGTAATTCTGCTTGTTATTTACACATCCCTACCACAATGCATAGCCAGAACAGTAAGACTGCTATGCACTATTACAGCTTTTCATCTGCTTTCTCCATGGATAATGAATGAGCATCTTCACGCTGTTGAAGTGCACTCTATATTCTTCTCCTCTGCCTTAATAAAAAAATAAAATGTTAAATTGGCAAACTAGAGATGTCTTCCATGCCTGCAGTGGGCTCCAAATCCCTGCCTGCCCAGCTGAATTCATAACAGCTCCAATAGGCACTCTTTGATAGTGCTGAAGCTTTTTCACCCTTTACTGCTTCTTACACATTTCTATAGACCAGTAGGGCAGACCCTCATAGTCC